GATGGGATGACTCAAAACATGATCAGTATTTGCTGTTCAGATTGTTGTACAACATATTGTTACATTAACATATGTGGCCTTCAGATTTCTGATGACTCTTACTAATGACTAATCCTGCCATTCCATTGAATGTTAAATGTAATTTGCAAAGTTTGGTACAATGCTCAGTATTTATTGAGGAACCTTCAATGAATCATCTTCACAATAAGAGTTGATTAAAAGAATACAAATACAGGCTGTTATTTATTCCTCCACAGAATGTAACTATCCTAACATTTTAGAAATTAATACAGACACTTGATAGCTAGTACAGAACATGACTAATTCCATTGAAAGACCCATGATGTCAAATCTTTTCATGTTGAGCTCATCAAGGTAGAAATGCCAGAACATCAAAAGTGAAAGGGAACACCAGTTTATATTTTGTGAGAAGAGGATGCTGATAGTGGCTAGGTGACTTGATTGGTGGTAGTGTTGCCATGGAGAATGAACTAGAGAACAGTTAATTGCATCTACACCAGACCAGTTAGTGCTGATAGACCTGTGCTTTGCCATGAGGAATGTATCAGGGAAAGGCTTGCTCCCAAGCTTTTATTCAGATGGGAAATGCCCAATGTGTGGACATGTTCTTTCTGTTTCCAAATTAATGTTGAACTAACGACACATTGATTTTCAAATTCCTGTCCTTCAAATCATTTCAAGGTTACACTTTGGCCACAAACATCCTACCCACCCTTCTCCATTTCTGTTACCTCCCCCTGTCCTGTGACACTCTCTGAAATTTATACGCTTTCCGACTCTGGACTCCTGCGCATTTGCAATCTCGTTTGCTGATTTTTTGCCATTGTGAGATGGTACTATGTCTATTTACTGTGCACCTACTGCACTGGTATCAGGAGAACCTGTATAAAATATTTAAGGAGCTAATAAATTATTTTAGATAATGTGCTGCACTGTTTGCAGGGCGTACCTATCTCTGAGTTACCAGCTGCTGAAAACACAAAGCCACGTACAGTGCTATTTGTTAGGAAGGTCTCTCATGGATTATCTCTGAGAATTGACAATGTGACATTAATCACATGGTATTCAGTAATGAGACACATGCTTACTCACGTGACATTCGATTGCATTGCATTTTCCCACTGCTCATTTAATAGAATTGCTTGTACCTCGTCTCCTTATATCAGCAAGCCCCATGAAGAATAATAAACCTTTTCGTTTTACAGTGAAATAAATAACATCATTTAGAAACAAATTAAAAAACTGATAAGTAAAATTTAACTAAAAGCCATGAGTCACATTGCACTTAAAATAAATTTTCTCAGTCCAGATGCTGCCACACCTGCTGAGTTTCTCCAGCACCTGCTGTTTTATTTCAATTCTCCAGCATCTGCAGGACTTTGTTTTTATTTAACCATCTCCCTTTGGTGTTGGAGTAGGCAGACAGTGGCCAGTAAAATTCAATGCAGAGAAGTCAAAGGTAATATGTTTTTGTGGAAAGAATATGAAAGACAGTACAAAATAAAGTGTACAATTCCAAAAGGTGTGCAGGAACAGAGGGTTCTCAGTGTACATGTGGAGAAATCATTAAAGGTGGCAGGACAGAAGGAGAGAACAGTTCATGAAGCATACAGTTTTCTTAGTTTTATTATTAGGGGCAGAGAGTACAAGAGCATGGAGGTTGTGCTGAACTTGTATAAGACATTCATTAGACCTCAGCTGCTTCATTGTGTATCATTCACATTCAGGAAGGATGTGAACGTATTGGACAGAATGCTGAAGAAGTTTACAGGAATGTTAAGGCACGTCAAGTAGGGAGGATAAATTGGAGAAGTTGGGATTGTTTCCCTTGGAGAGGAGAAGAAAAAGGGAGATTTGATAGAAGTTTTCAATAAACCTTGCGTGTTCTGGACAGTGTGGACAGGGATAAACTATAACCATTCATAAGAAGGTCCAGAGAGAGGTTGTTGATTTAAAGTAGTTTGCAAAAGAAGGAAATCTCAAGTGAGAAATTAAACTATCTTTTTCACTCAGTTAGATATGCTGCCTAGAAATATGCGGGGGCAGATTCAATTGAGGCTTTCAAGGGGGGCAGTGGTTGGTTATATGGATAGAAGTAGTGTGTAATGTTATGGGGAAATGATGGGAAAACGGCATTAATTCATAATGCTCAGTCAGAGTCAAAGTGGATGCAGTGGGCTTAATGGCCTCCTGCAGTGTAACAATTCTGTGATTGTCCTTTCCCTTCAGTGACATTACCATCACTGGATCCACTACTGTTAATATCTTGGTGCTTCCCATTCAACAGAAACGGAACTGGACACAGTCATCGGAACACTGTCTCTACAAGACCAGGTCAGAGGTGAGGAATTCTGTGGTGAGTATCTTGTCTCCTGACTCCCCAATTCCTGGTCCATCCTCATAAGATAAAGTCAGGAATGTGGGGAAGTACATTTGTTTGGATGGGTGCAGCTCACACAGCACTCTCAACGTGCAACACCATCGAAGACAAAGCACTTCACTTACATAAAACCATAAGACGTAAGAGCAGAAGGAAATCTTATGACCCACTGAGTCTGCTCCACCAATCAATGAGATCATGGTTGATCTGATAATCCTCAGCTTCACTTTCCTGCCTTTTCCCCATAACCCTTGATCCCCTTCCTGGTTAAAAACCTGCCTGTCCAGCTGACTGCCCAGCCTCCCGCAGTAAACAGTTCCACAGATTCACTCCCCTCTGAGAGAAGAAATTCCTCATCTCTGTCTTAAATGGGTGACCCCTTGCTCTGAAATTATGCCCTCTTGTTCTCATCTCTCCCAGATGGGGAAATAACTTTTTCGCATCCGGCCTGTCAAGCCTCCTAAGAATCTTACGTGCTTCAGTAAGGTGAACTCTCATTCTTCCAAGCTCTAACGAATACACAACCTCAACTCATAAAACCATCCCTTCAGACAAGGAATCAATCTAGTGAACCTTCTTCAGACTACCAATGGCAGTTCATGTCCTTCTTTAGATTCTAAATGTATTCTAAGCGTGGTTTGACAAATGCCTCGTATTGTTTTAGCGAGATTTTCCCAAGACTTCATTCCCTTTGAAATAAAGGTGACTACTTCATTGCCCCTTCCCTATTACCTGCTGAGCTCAAATTTTTGCGAGCACTTTGACTCGTGACTCAGTCTCCTACCTTCAACATTCAATTGCTCCACCACTAATGCACAGTGACTGCAGTGTTCTATCTACAAGATGGAATATAGCACCTTGCCAAACCACCTTTACAGCACATTCCAAACCCACAACCTCTACCATTTAGAAGGACAACAGATGCATGGCAACATTATCACCTGCAAGTTCCTCTCCAAACCACACACCATCCCAATGGATCAATATTCTCTGGTGCAGCTTTGGACAGCAAACTGAGAGATGTCTACAGGAAGGATCCCAATATAACAACAAATTGACGGCCCCAACATCACTGGCAGTGCTGACCTTGTCTAGGTCTAAGACAGCGGAACCAGTCAGAAGTCAGCAAGACTTGGATAAGTATTGGAGCTCCATACTAGAGGATTCAGGCC